AGTTTTTTCATGGATGACAGCAAGTCGTTGGTAACACTTAGTTGCGGGCGCTGTCATCTGCGGGCGAAGGTAATAGACAGTCGCGGACATAGTTAATCGCGGGCAACTATGAGCGGCTGTCATGAATGACAGTTAGTTGCGGACGTAGTCAATTGCGGACGACAGTATTGAATAGTTGCGGGTGCAGCAAGTCGTGGGCGACATTTAGTTGCGGGCGGAGGTAGTTGTAGACGATGGTAACGGTCAATCGCAAGCGTAGTTAGTCGCGGATGATGATGAGTGACAAATAGTCGTGGCAATGTAAAAGACAGTCGCGGATCACGGTCACGGACAATCATGGTCACAAGTGCGGACGACACGTGGCAAACATAGTAGTGTTTTGGCAAAAATAGTGTTGTAGGTTGAGAGCTTGTAAGGTTCTTGTCAGTCTAAATGTGTCTTTCATTGATTCCAGATAATTGAAAGAGGAGGAGAGTTCTAAGTGTGTCCATATTGACAAGTGAAAAACTTGTGCTCACAAATATGGGTATGGAGGAGTTTGATCATTACATGATTAATGATTAAGTTAAGCATGGTTCAGGTTTTGTACAGTAGAGTGAAGCACAACGATATGAAGCATATTTTCAGGCAATAGTGTCTATAAAATGATTGAGCTAGTCAAGATTGACGATAAACTCATTCCAGCTCATGTGTGTAATCATCTTTAATTAGTTAAAACTAAAGTAGATGTTACTTTAAATGTTGATATAGATTCTTTAGCGTGCAATAGTCATAGCTGCTACGTCAATAATCCGCGCGCTTGGTGAGTAGAGAGTATATGGGTTAGTTGACAGTGCCACGTCATCAATCCATGTGCTTGTTAGGTAAGGAATGAGTGTGTTATTTGAGAGAGCCACATCAACAATTCTTGTGATTGTTAGGATTATACGCCACGTCCTCCGTACACTAGGAGTGGAATGAATGGTGTGAATAATAAGATCTTATCTCCTTGTACTTGTTGGTGAAAGCTATATAAGGAAGAGTAGTACCATTATTAGTATCTCTCATTTTCAGAGTTTATGTTTCCATCTTCAAGTTAACTTCTCTCAAAACCCTAGTGTTACAAGGTGTTGATCAAAGTTATTTTTTTGAAGAGTTTTAGGTAACATTGTGCTATCATGCAGCTTGTGCATGAGAAGTAGAGGTAGAGTTTACTAACATAGTATCTTCACTAATCTATTTATATACTTACTCTATGTTGTGATGGCTACGACTTAAGTCTAGTTAACTCTCGTGTAAAGAGATGTCTTGTATTAAGTTTCTTTCTAGAACAACCCGCGGAGTAATTATAAAAGTTATCAGATTTCTATTTTCTCTATGCTAGCAAGTTTTTAGTTACCTCTTTATGTCATTATTGTATCATGTTATGGCTACGGTTTGGTTCTAGTTGACTCTCATATAAAGAGTGGTACAAACAGAAATTTCAAAACAGAAACCTAACACAAGATCGTAAGTTTTTGTCTGAAACTTCCCACAGGATAATGATGTATATTATAGAGTTTACTATTTCCTTAAGATGAGTTTAGGGAGAGATTGTTGAGGTTAACTCCAATCGAGGAGTAAACTCCGGCCCTAGCTATTTATAGCTATGACGGTCGTTTAGACTAGAGATAAATACTTCGGCTTTTGCTCTGTACGTAAATCTTGTGTGAGAAGCCTGAAGTAAATTGCAGAGTTTTCTCAATGGATGTAGCCCTCTTCCCGAGGATGAATCACGTTACATCGTGTTTCAAGTTGGCTTGAACGTGTCGCTATGTTTTTGGGTTTTACATCATATAACATTCAAATTATTACACTATTGTGGAAAAATTTATTCTTTCTTAAATTGTTTTGATATAATTTGATTTCTTGATCTATAATAATTTTAGAACATAAAATATCATATTATAGTTTGAAATGATTTGCTTGCGTATTTATCTCTAATATGTAATAAATCTTAAATAATTAAAACCTTTTTGATTTATTTCTCTATAGAATTGAATATTTTAAATTAGATTAAAAATTATTAAATAAAAAAATTCATTGTGTTAAAAAATATGGCTAAAAATATCAAAACTTTTAAAAAATTATTTATTTATTTATTTAAGCCACATAGTTTGAATTTATTTCTTGAACTATTTTATTTGATTGATTTTTTTTTGACATACACATTTCAGTTATTTATTATTTAAATCAATTATATTACAAAAAACAATTCTTTTAATGTCTAATTTTTTAAACATTTTTTATTTTTTTATAAGATTAATAATTTTCTTGGATCATTAAAAAATACTCAAAAAATAGGTGAAAAAAATTTTATTTTAAATATAATTAAAAAATTACAAATAAATTGAGTGATAAAAATGAATTATTATTGAAATCTTGACATGATGATATATTTTAAATCTTACATAAAAATTTGATAGTAATATTTTTAATACTTTTCCATATATTATCAAGATTGAATATTTGTAATCATTTCATAAAAAATATTTATAAATTTAATTTTATTTAAAAATTGTAAAGTTTTTTTTTGCATTGATGCTATGATTTACATGAATTCAATATTTAATTTTCAATCTGAAAATTATAAATTGAGAAAATTATGACACATTATTTTTTCTGTGAAATTTTTTTTTTTTAATCTGATCTCAATTTCTGATGTGGTAATTGGATCTTATATGCAAACAACTTTTAAGCGCATATCTTAAAGTTCATAAATCAAATTCACGTACAATGACTTGGATTAACAAATTGTAAGATGATGTATTATGAAATCTTTATGTGTACGTTATGACTATCATCCACAAAAATTTACCAAACGGATAAATAAAAGAGTTACACAATAGCTTTTTGCATAAATATGTATCCGTCTAAATGCACATCTTCATTATTTAACCATTATTTTTTAAGCTTAAATGCATTCAGATTTAATTAGGTGAAAATTCTTGCACTTGAAAACCCAATTCTTCAAAATTGGATTTCGTATATTAATAAAAATACAACCCAAAAATTGATATTTACTATTATGACATTAACATGCTTTATCTCAATAGTAGTCAAAACACAAGCTCATCTTGTACATATTTTTGACGTTTTCAAATCATATTGGAAAACACACCCGTAGTGTTAGGTTGAAGCTTCTAGCAATGCATGATCGGATTCACTTCATCTCTTTTTCTGTGACACATCGTCTTTTGCAACCCTTGGCGCATTGTGATTTGATTTAGCAATAATCATAATGCCTTAGATTCTGTTTTGAAATTCATAAATCCAATGCAATACATTTCACTTTGGCCGAAGTAGAAGAGAGAGAGTGTCACAACACATGCTATCAATCCAGATGCATGGCATGTTTTCACCCGGTGAAACTACCAACAGAGAGCGGAAAAGTATTATTTTTAGCTTCATTAGATATTAAGACAGATCGCTGTAGAATTTGACCTTGCTTGTCTCCCATTTTTTTGATAGCTGTTTCACTACTATTGTACTTGCAAGCTAGAGACTTTTTACTGGTAGCATACATGTTGGTCAGCTTCTCTATTATATCGCATAGTTGGGTCTCATTTAGACGTTTCTCGTTCGGTTTCTTTGACATTGCAGTTGAATCAAACTACTAAGAAGTGTCTAAAGTATGCATCTACTGACTAAGTACACACAATCCTCTCATATTCAAATTGCATACTTGGATGGGAGATTATTGTATTTTAAGACATGAACAATAAGTGTGATCTCAAAAGATTATATGTTTTTAAGTTCCAACAACAAGTTGTGGAACAACTACTACTTGATTTGAGAAAGCAGAATCTCAAGATTTTCTTCAATTGAACATTTTCAAACCAACATGATGGCATCATGGAATGATTGAGATTAACTGAATAATATGAAAAGTTTCATTTGTGACCACTTATGGTAACGAATGATCCTCGACCAATCGAACAATGACGTTTTTTTCCCAATTATTGAAGTCGTTTCACCAGGTTTTTAATCCATATAAGATTGAGAATAAGATAGAAAAAGAATGATTAGCACGATATACAAGGAAGAGCTTTCTTTTGATTTTGTGATGTCATATTTGACTCTTTCGTCGTGATCATTCAGCGATGTAAAGTTCATACGTAGCTGGTTTCGTTTATAAGCATAATACAGATGGATATGATATTCCGCTTTTGTAGTCAATATTAGCTGAAGCTGACATTCGACAGTTTTTCGACCGACAAATTTTGTAAGACATTTCGATGTAGGAGAGTCAAATCTGAAATACTGAAACTCGTGTCCGTATATTTGCTCATACATCGACCAAGACCCTAGAATGCAAAACGTTCACGTCAGGAAGAGTTCAGGGTGGCTTCAAAAACGAGTGCTTTGACCCAGAGATAATTACACGATACACAAGGGCCTACTTTGGGAGCCAGGTCAAATTGTCACAGCAGCACCTACTTTGTTGTCATACTTTGCTTGCGGAGGAGAAATGGGGACCAAGGTAGAAAACAGTATAGCCACGGAAGGTGGCTCCTCGAACACTAAAATATTTGCGGCGTCCAGTTCATGGCAGAGATAATTTCAGCTTATCTGGAAATCTCTGTCACGGACACACTGTGGTTCTGTCGAGGCGGCAATCCATGCCGTTGGCCGAGGGCGGCCCCAAGAATCGATGGCATGCCATGGCAGAGGGGATTGCCCATTTCCAGCTCTTAATTTAGAAGAAAGCGAGAAAAGGCCGGAGCCAGGTCACAGTGGTGACGATTCCCTCCGTCCGAGGGCACCAACGTCCAACGGAATCCGCAGGCCCGAACGAACCGAAAGTGTTCCCGTCCGCCGGGACAGGTGGTGTTCGATCGGGCGCATTCACATGGGCTCCAAGAATCGAAGCGCGAGTCGGCCAGAGCACTTTATGTTATAGAATGGAATGCACGCCGAACGAATTACGTGTCTTCTGGTCCATTGAGCCCTTGCCCTTCCCTTCCCTTCCCTTGCCTCGCCTTGCCTTGCCTTCCCCATTCCCTGCCTTATTTGTACTTGGCCACCACTGCTGAGAACAGGCAGGCCACGCTCACAAGAAAGAACAGAAGAGCAGAGCAGAGGAGAAGAGGAGAGGAGGAGGAGAGGAGAGCAGCGCAGCAGAGCTCTGTGTGTGTGTGTGTGTGTGTGTTGTTGAGTCGTGTAGATGTCGAGGATGGTCGCGGTGGTGGAAGGAAGCATGAGCGTGGTGTGAGAGTGCGAGGGGCAGGCAGATCACTGGCTGGCTGGTACTGGGTGGGCGAAATTGCCGCAGCAGCCCTTGCGTGAGGGCAATTGGGGCCGGGAGGACGCGGAATCGTGACCGAGATTTGTCGTTGGGTTGGGGGAGGGGGGAATTGGTGTGTTTCGGGTGAGGGCGAGGTGGAGGTGGTGGTGGGAGGAAGGGAAGAGATCCGTACGGTGGAGAGTTGGGGGACGAGAAGCCTGAGGGAAAGGAGGAGTTGCAGCGCTTGGCTGGCTTATTGCTGGCTTTCTCGCTGTCTCCGAGGCCGGAAGGCCACTTTCAATTCCGTCTTGGTTTATTACTATTGTGCTTTGTGCATCCTTGTGTTGGTCTGCTGTTAGAAGCCCCGCCTACCTCTTACCAGAAGCCAATTGTGCCTGTGCGAGGACTAGTGGAGTTGTGGGAGGGAGAGAAAAAGAAGCACTGAAGCACAGACGGGGCGTCGTACAATCGTTTCCGATTGCAGAGGGGGCTGCTTGCGAGGAGTGCATAGCGGTGCCCCCCATGAAGAGTTTCCGGGGATTGAAATCTGTGCAGGCAGCACGTGTACCAGGCCGAATGGCGCCCAAGGGTTACAATACTCCCACACTTCTTCGTTTCATGTACTGCCTACCCTTTCGCTCCCTGCCCTAGGAAGCAAGCACAATCTAGCCATTTCTTCATTCAGCCTTGCGTCCATTTATCGTACAAACTTATCTCCTATTGCTTTTGTGCAAGGCAGCCTCAAGGTGAGAGATAATTGACCTGCTTGCACTTGTGTCCGCGTGCATATCATCACACTGACGGGCCTCTGGAAGTTTTCATGATCGCTGTTCGTAGAGATTCCTGGGGTTGATCACCAATTCGAGTATGCAGTTAGTCATTCATGTCCAGTACGGTCTGTTTGAATACCGGTTGCGATCTAGATAAAGACCAAAGATCTTCCTGCTTTCAAGAGGTGGATTTTTCAGGCCTCGTATCCCACTGCTCACCAGAAAGCGAATTTGTCCAAAGTCCTGTGTATCTGGAATTCCTGAGTGAATCAAAGCGAGTTCCAAGTGTTGTAGATGTAATGAATGGTATGTACGTCTTTGCTTCCATGTGAAGTCGACGTGCAAGTCATCCGCTTTCTGTGAGTAACCCCAAGTCCGTCTCCTTTCTCAAGAGTCGTGAAGCTTGAGTTTCTTTGTGAACGTTCAGCGGCAACTTCTCCTCACTGGTAGCCCGGAGAAACTGCCCTCTTGAGAAATGTCATTCGTTCAGTATGGTTTACTCTTCCTTGTGCACTTCTCTTGGAATGTCCTTTCTTTCTTGTCTGTGTGGAATGCACATGCGTCTTACCCCAGTGATTCGTGCGCGCAATTCTTTGCTTGTGCGACTCGTTCAGTTAAGCTGGTTTGTAAGTCTCTGTTCCTACTGAAGCAGGTGAGTCCGCAACACATCAATCACCCGGGTATGGACATGATTCCATAGTGAAGGCAAAAAGTATAATCAATTCCTTGACGAAGGACGAGAGCCAAACGTTAAGGAGTATTTGAGGAGCGCAGGGTCTGAAAGAAATGGGGAAATTGTATCTGATACAGCTGGATGGGCGCATCTACAGCTGTAAATTCTGCCACAGCCATCTCGCGAACTCCGACCAATTAGTTTCCAGGGTAAGTCATTCTAGCTTTTTGGGTCCAGGTCGAATGACTTTCAATCTCCTCGATCTCGAGCGTTTTAAGTTGTATGTTCGCATTCATGGGTTGGTTAAGCTCATAGTGTGTAGGTTTTTAGGGAGATATTGTAAGTTCTAGAACGAACCTCCAATACGAAATGGTTCCGAGCATCCTTGTTGTAGGTAATGCCTCTGTTTAGGCACTCCTGACACACGGAGGATCATGAAGCTTTTTGGCTTACTATGCGTTTCGGAGATACTAAATCTTTTGTTCACTGATGCATTTCTTCATGCCCCAGGGCTCAGGTTGAAACAAGGCACTCGCTTGAAATTCATGCCCCAGTGTTAATCTCAATTTGAGTTTACAAAACGTTATCTTTCTAGCTTCCAGTATTGTTATCATTATTCACCTTTCCTTGGTTTCGTGGGCTTTGTTGGCTCGGCTTTCACCATATGAGACTAATGCGACGTTTTCATGTTTTCTCACCACAGCAATTTCATTGTCGACATGGGAAAGCCTATTTGTTCAATACCGTGTAAGTGTTCTCATTCCAGACGCTGATTGTATGATATCGGTTGAGTGCACAGCGTCCATTTTGCATGACTTTCTCGTTTTGATTTGAAATAGAGTCGGTTTGCTCTTACTGTTGAAGGTAAGCCGGAAAGCATGCTTCCACAACAAGTAAAGAATAATATATCAGGAAGTGTACAGCTTCTACTTGCAATTGTTTCTGGCATACGATGCTCATCCTCGAGAGAGCTTTCAATTTTTCGTTTCAGATGGTATCGTTTTCTATGACGTCGGTTTGTTATTATCGTGTACTCACAGTTGCAACCTTGGATTGCGCATGACGCTTTAAAATGTTTGATACATGTCCTTGGGTTGGCCTTTGTTCGAACCTGCTTACCAACTATTTGGTATATTTGAATGAGAAGAAGGGAGTTGATCCTTGGAATTTATTACCTAACATTACAAAATCTTTGGGACAAGGTTTATTCCAGTAACATCGCATTAAACATCGCGCCTTCCGTCCTTCTTGATTTCGATTGTTTTTTTGGTTACGTACCGTCTGCTGCTTTTCCAATTTATGTGTATTTTTATAAACTTCAATCTTCTTTGGGAATAAGGCTACACATATGCACACCAACCTGCTGATTGTCAGTGCAATGAGAGATCTTCGAATGTGAAACGATTATATCCAAGTGTTATTGATCTGCAAGTGCGACCCGTAGTATCTCTGTACTGTACTTAATCATATTGCTATGACTTCTTTTCTTTCCTATGATATCTTGGCCTTTTCATCAGCCGTTTGAAGTTTGAGTTTCGACTGATAGCTGACTCAAATTTTGAAGAGCTATTAGACGCAGATCAGACTATCAATACTCGTCATTCATGTGCACTTTCTTGTTTTAGAAACTTTTGCTTGGATCCGAGTATTTTATTCTCGAAATACATCTATGTGTTGTCGAACTGTGTGCTCTATTGTGCTTGACAAATGCCGCCTAAGAATATAGCTCTTGGTGCAGTGTGAATGTGTCGGTTGGACCACATGAGGATCGGAGGATGACTACAGGACTCCATACAGTTGCTGACATTTTCTGCAACTGCTGTCAGCAGATTGTTGGCTGGAAATACGTAATCTCCTCATTACTTCGAATTTTGTTATTATGTATAGATTTCTCCTTTCTTGCATATCCCTGTTTCAAGTAGGAGAGCATGTCTGTAATACGAAATTGATCATTTTAGAGTATCAGTAACCGTCATGCTGTCCCTAACTTGTTGTTTGATGGTGCTTCGCATGGCTCTGCAGGAGTTGGCTCATGAGTTGGCCCAAAAGTATAAGGAAGGAAAATTCATCCTTGAACGGTAAGAGCTCAAATCAAACTTTCATCACAGCTCACGAAAGTGCTTGGGCCCAGGTCTTTGTAGCTCTTGCATGTTGGACTTTCTCTAGAGGCGCTTGACGGAAGATGGATTATACCACATGGCGGCACTCTGATCAGCGCACTGTCTATTTCTTTTTGAAACAGAGCGAAGGTTGTTGATGGCGATAGCAATGGGAGTACTGATTACTATCTGGATTCACAGCCGGTCCACAGTGACACAGAGGATGTTTGAGATTGAATTTTGTCAATCACTCTTCGTACATCTACAATCCGTGAAAACCATTTATCACCGGACCTGGGGTATTCGCATGGCATTGTATAGAGATAGTCGTTGTGTTTGTGTACAAAGCGGTTTGCTCACCAGTCTCTGCTGCCTGCTCGACTGTCACATGAGCATCACCTAGAGTAGCCTGTAAATAGTTATACAATACCATTTAACTCGTCATGAACACAATTTTCTTTAGCAACTCATGTCTTCTCTTTGGAAGTGCTGGCCAAGTTTGGATGAACATTATGAAGATGTGACTAGTTATCCGCAAGGGTTTCTAGTGCTAGTTAGCCGTGTTTGCCACCTGGTTGTGGAGAAGTTTCATCTGATTCAGGCAGCACGTTGATACGTTTACTGTATCAATGGCTGTTAGGGTGTTGACAGAACAACTTCTGGAGAAATAACAAATGAAACGTGCTCAATAGACCTTTTTCTCTTTCAGATTCATGTCCATTCTTGAGTCCACCATATGAATCGTTATTCGTTGATTATGGACGCATTCTACACGGTTGGACGTATTTTCGAAGGTGCTTTTTTTTTAAGGCTTTAGTATAATTTTTCCTCGAGTGCTGGTTATACATTTTTAAATCTAAGGATTAGGAACCAGTTAACAGAAATAGCTGTCCTCGCACCTCAATACCCTTCGCAATCAAAGTTTCGAGCTTTTGAACCGTCAAATGTCTGCTGGGACGAAGATCTTTGATGGAAAGTTAGTACATATACACAAATAAATATGTGTATACACAAACACTCGAACACACACACAAGGTTCGAACGCATTCTTATCCTCCTTGAGAATCTTAAAGGAAGAGCCTACGCACGAGTTGGGAAGTGGTAAACCAATGACCAAATTTGGGCATGATACACCTAAGACCTTGGTCTATGTTCTCTCCTTGATGAGATTTCATCACCTTCATTCAAGAGCAATATCTAATTGTCTGCTGAAGGTGATAACTTTGATTGTATCGTTGTTTACATGACCCAGTATCAGCACGATTTTACATATGTGAACACGATCTCACAGTCTTGATGTAAATATTCCGTGCCCAAATCAAGAGTTCAACTCAACATTTTTTGGCGACTTAAAACTTCCGGGTTGAGAGATTTCTGAATAAAATTCAGCTGGATAATGTTCCTATCCGAAGCGTATCCTACTCTATATGTAAATCTTTGATACCCCAAGTCTTCGTACGGGAGTAGATATAACCCCGTTTGTCTCCATCCATCACGGTAGCAAAATCTTAGTCCTATCTCCATCACTTATGAGAATACTCGGAGACCTTGTTCTCCTCTCTTGATTCGCCCATTTAGGAGACATCTGAATGTACGGGATATTGTTATTCAGTTCACATTATCTCGTATTTCTTTTGATTGAAAATTATCCTTGTTGAAAAATTGTATTTTACTATCAATCAAACATTAATTTCTTGTAAGTTCAACAAGGTTCCAAGTTTTATAATCAATCAACGAATGCATTTCACACTCCATAACAATATGTCACTATGTTTTATGTAACATTTGAGTTTCTTAACAAGAGAAAAAACATTTTCTTTAAATCAGCACATTTTTATCACTTAATCTCAATATCATAATCTTAAAAAATGGAAGTATCAAACTATAATTTATAAAATATAAATTATAAATTTTTCTACACTAAATAAACTAATCCGATTTGATTATCTCTTGAAAATGATTGTTATCTCTTTGATTTGTTGTAATTACTTGAGGTTCAGCAACTATATCTTCATATTTCAATTTTTTCTCTTTAAAGTTTTGTTTGATCTATATCGGAATTTCTCCTTAGGTATCCTTAAATCCAGAATGATCAATCTCTTGCTCAATGACATTTAAGAATAAAGATATATCCTTGTAACTAAGAGAAAATTGAAAATCTTTCATTTTTTCAATGAAGTTCCAAAAAAAATAATTTGTTGCGGCGATTATCTTACAAACTATTACAAACTTTTTAAGTTTGGCAATTATTAAAACTAAAAGAAACTAATTTTGATATTTTTTGATAGATTATTATTTTTAATCTTGATGATTCCTAAAAAAGTGTATCATTGATAAAAATTACGTGTACATATATGACATTTTGCAGATAGCCATACTGTTTAGAATTTAGAATATTTTTAAATAAAAGAAAATGACAATGACTCATGAAGCTCATACTTCTTTTCTCCAAGGATAGAGAAACCCGATTCTACAAAAAAATAAATTTGGAAAGAGCATGATGAAGACCCCAACTCATAATTAATGATCAAAGTGTCGGATGTTAAACTTGTAAGACATTCCAAAAATTTTTCAACGATGAGTTTTTAAGTTGATCAAAAGTAGATCACAATGTAGATTAGCTTTGATAAGATTCAAACAGCTGAATCTGATCAAATCAAAGGCAATTTGATTCAAAGAGCTTGCGAAGCCTTCACAATATCAACCTAGCAAAGACATAATAACTATTTTGCGAATCTTAGCTAAAAAAGTCGTTGATACAAATATAATGGCTTGTTGGCTTGGCTCAATTGGCTTGTTAATAATAATGATGTAAGCTATAAATTTGAAAACTTTCATCAAGGATGACAAGTATTAACTCATCAATCTCTGCTTTTATTGCAGCACAAACATAATTCGAAATCAAATTCATGAGTTCGAGGAATCAAATATTCCTTTGTTGTCTAGAAAAATCTTTTGGCAGGTTTGCAACGCCTTTTTGAATTAGTGAGATTTTTGCTTATGTCACATATTTGAGAGTTTTGATTGAAATGTGATTTTCTTTTATATTAAAAGCTTCACGTTCTGCAATTTAGTGTTAATCAAATTGATACTATCAAGCAATACATAGACAACTACAATCACAACCAAGTACAAATGAGCCAAATTGATTTGATGAATCAGATGTATAAAAACATGTCTTCATTTGTTTGTACTATTATAATTTGAAATTAATTAACTAAAATAATATTGATATTTTTATGTCGTCTTGATAGTTTCATGAATATTTGCATGATTCATAAAAGTCAAAAAACTTAACATAAAAGTAATTTTATGATTATAAAATAACAATATCTTCAAATAAACTTAAATATGATGTTTGATATTGATTCAAATTTTTTAATTCAAGTGAGTTGTATTGGGATTTGAATTGACATTTTATAAAAGAGCTATAATAACTATGAATTATTCAAACTGAGAATTTTTTACAAAGTTTCTTTGTGTTTTTGTGAAATTAAACTTGCAAAGATTAATTAAGTACTGATTGTATTGATATTGATACAATGACAGATTTAAACTGACTTTTTTAATTAATTTTCAATCAATTCACCACAATATGCTGATTTTCATAGATTTTGCTCACAAAAGAAATCAGATAATTTATGAACTTGAATTTCAGAACTTTAAAAAATAAATCATTCTCAGTTTTGTTATTCATAAATTTTTAATAATCATATTATATCAGGTCTCCTGAACAATTTTGGAATTGTTAACAAAATTTCAAAATTAACCAAAATTAAATCTTGCAGCATACATAAACTAAAAACATCAAGATCATAGATGAAACTATTTTTTTTAACTATTATTGAATACGAGACAAATTTGACGTTGGCACAAGTAGTATTACGCCACGTTGCTTATACCACAAGTAGTATCACGCCGCGTATTCTGCGTCTTCGTAGAGAAATCACTCTTTCATAAATCTACTAGATCCACTCGTGAATCAAATATGTAAATCAAATCTAGATCAAACTCATATTTGGATCTAAGAATTGCATGCGTATGAACTTTATTTCTTAACGATCCCCAAAATTACAAAATTTAAAAAAAGTATAGTCCATAATTTAAGCTAATTTTTTTTAATTATGGAAATTTCCTTGCCTTATGAGTACTGCATTAGATTGCGCAAAATTAGACTACTAATCATTGTGCATTCTACTAATTATGTTCCACACTTTTGTCAACCTTTATGTACAATTATTATGAAATTGTTTGGACATCAAATGTTATTTATGAATATAATTTTCTATATTATATATATATATTACATAATTATATAATTACATATCAATATACAAAAATTTTCATATGAAATTAATTTTTTTAGTTTAAATTAACTTGTATCTGAAACTAAAATTTACTTTCATAAAAATATAATGTAAAAAGAATTATTTGTCTTAAATCATCGAAGAATCATATCGTTATCAATTGATATCAATATCTTCTAAATGTTATAAATTTAGATTTTCCATCATATAATTTATGCTAATGATTAATTTAGATTTTTTTAATTCAAATTGATTTTACTAAGTTTGTGTGATTAGGTCAAATATAACAATATATAGAAAAATTCACTGTAGTATTTTGTGATATAAATGTGAAATTCATAAGCAAATCATTTGTATTTTAGATGAGATAAAAATGAAACACATAATTATTTTATAAATTTTATCTTTGTATTTGATAAATTCTCTAAATTTTTTAATCTATAAGATCTATAATATATAAAGGGATATATTAGTAATAAATAATAATCATATAAAGAGTAAAATGTATTGATGAAGTTTATCATTAGATTTGGTTTACTATAAATTTATTAAATTAATATTTGAAAAAATACGATAATTCAATTTATTTAAAATTTAAATCTTAAGATTGGCTTGAACAATAAATTTGGCAAACTTTGTGATTATTTATGCAAAATAGAATCAATTGTTAGGTTAACTCTATCTTGGATTAACTCCAATTAGTTCTTACCATGGTTAAGAAGTTAACTATGGTTAGGTTAGGTTAGGTTAAGTATTATGTGCACCTCATCTTTTCTCGTATAGAAGAGAGAAGATGACTCTCTCTGCATACAGTTCCGGATAACATCAAGAGAGTGAAGAAGTTGGAGTAGCGCTTGGCTATGGAGGCCGTGTAATCATCTGTGCTTTAGTGAAGTTCTGCTCTTGCCCGTGGATGTAGCCTGCGACAGGTGAATCACGTTATCTCGGTGTTGTGACTGTCGTGCGTGCCGGTCGATCTGGATTGAGGGGTTTTTCAATTGGTATCACAGCTCGTTCAATGCACGCTTATTTTTTTATTTCCACATTTTTTGAGAACAGGGAGTCGCGGAAGCGCTGTCGGAGATTGTACTTGCAATTTGAGAGATATTGTTGGCTGATTCTCTGTAGAAGAGTAGTCAGTGGTATCAATTTCACTTTGATGAAAGAATTAGAAAGTTTCATCGAGTGATAAGAGAGATTTTTTGGAAATTGAAGCGGAAAGCTCTCTTACAATCTACTATGAGAGAAACCGCTTTGTTTTTCCAAAATCAGAATTTTTGATTACCAAATTTTACAAAGTTTCACAGAAAGTATTGATGTACTGTTCGAGCCGATCATTATGACCTAAAGTTCGTTGATTTCTAATGAAGTGTCGCGAAGTTACGAGTGATTAAAGATTTAGGTCAATTCAT